TAAATCAGAAACCTTGCATATATCGTTAATGTATAGTATAAATAATTTAGGTCCCAAAACAGAAAACTATCACTGGTTATCACTACCATCACTGAAGAATCAAGCTTCATACTTTGCTCTTCTTCCTCCACCACTGGGGTCTTAGGGGTCTTATTTCTGTTGTGTAATGGCTGTTAAATTATCACACTATTGCACTCACAGCATTGTTATCAGCAGGGTGCCATAATCTCCTGAACCCTTGAGCCGTTGTGGGATTCGCTGTACGATTTTCAAATCCTTCACTTGCTCTTTTTATTTAGATGATTATTTTGTTTTCAATTTTGGTTAAACCGAATCGCGAGTTATTTTTCACCTCTGGCAGTGCTTCATGTTCAACAAACACTGCTTGTGTGGCTCAGTGGTGTGTGTGTGTGTGTGTGTGCGCACACATCTCTAAAATTACTGTTGTCATTTTGCAGCAGATTGCATACATCAAATCCTGTGCAGTGACCTCAGCTGTCACCTGTCTCTCTCAGACACACACACACACACACACACACACACACAAATGATAGAGTACATCAATACCGACTTGGGTCACTACACTAACAAGAATCTGGATATACCCATTAATTTATTGTGTGTGTGTGTGTGTGTGTGTGTGTATGTGTGTGACAGTGAGTGTGAAATATATTAGATGTTTAAATATTCAGTGGTCTCTCCTCAAGGTCACAGTTGGGAGGGAGCCTGACACCTCTGTGTAAAGCTCTTTTTCTATATAAAGTATACGTATGTCACAGTGACAGCGTTTACATGTTGATGTTTTGCATGCTTACTATGTTCACCATCTTAATTTAGCAGCATTTGCTAATTTAGCACTAAATACAAAGTAAAGTTGAGGGTGCTGTCATTACTTTCATAGGTTTTTAGTCATAAACCAAAGATTTAACAAAACTTGAAGGCTGACCTTTATGCTGGTGTGAGAAGTTATTTGTCCTGTGGGGAACATGAATGTCTGAGCTAAAATTCATTGCGATCCATCCAGTAGACGAGGAGAACCAAATCCACAATAGAAAAAATAAAGAAAGAAAAAGAAAAGGGAAGTGACAGGATCAATATGCTTTAGTATTAAAGATATTTCAGTCTAGACCAAAATGTTGGACTGGCTAAGAGATCACAGACTGACATGTTGTACTCACAGTCACCGCTGCCCTTTCATCTGTCATTAATAATAAACCAATATATTAATATTAAAACATAATCATATTATCCATCCATCCATTTTCCTCAGCTTATCCAGAACCGGGTCACGGGGGCAGCAGTCTAAGCAAAGATGCCCAGACTTCCGTCTCTCCAGACACTTCCTCCAGGGGGGAAGCCCGAGCTGTGCCCAGGCCAGCCGAGAGACATAGTCATATTCATATTATAGTCATAATCATATTATATACATAAAAAATAAAAACATTGGTTGCATTGCATTTCCTTATTCATTTCTCTCAGTGGTCAGACAAAAAACTCCCCCCTTGTTCTCCCTCAGTTGGTTCTCTAATCTCTGTTGCAGTAACTTCAGTAAAATTGTCATTACTTTACATCTAGACTGGCGACCTGCCACCCAGTGTCAGCTGGGATTGGTTCCAGGCCCCATAATCCTCTTCAGGATAAGCAGTATACTGAATAATAGATGGATGGATTAGTTTACATCTGAAAATACAGAATTCATTCAGTCCATTGCTACAAATATCAACACAACAAACTTTGATTTTATTTGTACTCAATCCCGTACGGATGCCCCACCATGACAGTTAAAGACTAGTCACCTTTGTTTCTCTCCCCTTTTATTTCTTTTCAAAATATGGATGAATGACTTTTCCCTTCAAACCTAATCGAATACACAAATCCACCGAGTTCTTGGTTTAAGGTCACATCTGTTTGCATGTTTCAGATGCGTCGTTTGTCAAAATAAACCCAGCCAAAGAGAAAAGCGATGGTTATTAAGAGACGGCCATTATCACATCCAAGGCCCCAGAGAGATGCAACGTGCCACTTAAAGGACAAAACAGAATAATTCTCCACAAATTAAAGGCTTTACGGTGGCACAACAGTGTCTGCAAGGAGGGGTGTGGGGCTGGATATGTGCATGTATATGCATGTATGTATGTTTCTCTGGATAGACGTATTAGATGAGAACTCTAATAAAGCAACGAGGTACATATGGAGACAAAAAACAGATTGAGAAAAAATACAAAGGAAAGTAACAAAAAACAAGTCAAAGCTAAAAGGTCTGTGAAGGAAAATGAGACAGGAAGAGATGAAAGAGAAACTTGAAGGTGAGCAGAGGTAATTATCATGTTTCTCTACTTGAAAGACTTCAATTAAGACTGTGACAGTGTTGTGTGAGGAACACTTGCCTCTGGATGCTAACTTGATAATACGGAGATGGAGGATATCTGTGATTGCGGTCAATGCAAGAAGAAAGGAGTCAGGCTGTGCTGCTCAGCAGAGACGCCAGAATTAGATTTTATAGAGCAGGTGCTTTAAAAAGTACTGCGGCGGAAGCTCATAGAGGCTGTGCTAATCAGCATAAGAAGGGGGTATGTAGCCTGAGGTTACATAAACATGCTTGCAATTTCAAGGTCTTTATCGTAGATATTAATGTTATTTTCAAACAGGACTCGAAACAGTGAGTTTGTCAACTGGTTCTGATGAAAGACCTCTGATCAAATTACCTTTAGTCAGAATCATTAGCCTACTTATAAAGCATTTTAATTGCTTACATCTAGGTTTGTCAGCTGGCAGCCTTCAGTGCCTTTATGAGAGCATTGCAATGGTGCAATGGTTTTTTGTGTAGCATGAAACCAGCATAAGTACTGTGAATCATAATACAAACAGAGCCAGAACCTTTGTGTTATCACAGTCATTGGCAGTGCTGAATGAGAGACATTTATATTCAGTCTTACACAGCCTTTCATTTTTTTAAACACACTGAGAAGCCAGCACATCGCAGTGGCTTTCTCCAAAAACATAGGATGCTTTTTGTAGTGGATTGAAGCATCCCATTAACCTTTGGAAGGCTTTGTACTTTCTAAACCCTGGTCTTGGTGCTGCTGACCAAGGTTTTGATAAAGCTCTTTTCACAACCTTTTGAGTGTCTATCAAGCATGCTGCTGAGGTCTTAGTGTTTGGGTTTGATTCATATTCAAGAAGGTTTTTTTCTTTGTGAATGTGAATCTGCATTTAAGAATTTCAGATTCACATTATATGCTCTAATATCCCCGGCCCTAAACTGTGTGGTCCTTGTGAGCAGTCACTAGTTTACTTTTCTATGTAACGAAGCCCACCCGTGGGACAGGGCTTAGGGTTAGGGATCAAGGGGTTTACCTGAACGTCTAGATGTCATTTGACCTGCATTTATAGGGAACTGCTCTGTAGCTCATTTTCAGTGACTTTGAAGTGCTCTGCAGTTTTGTGTTTTACATATCTTCATGCAGTTAGCTCATAGTCCGATTCATCCGATCCTGTTATTGAAACTAATAAGTGCAATATGGAACACAGAAACAAAAAGCTAATGTTTTGTTATAGTATAGTTAAGAGGCAGTCTATTTCCTATTGACCTATACTGGTGATCATGGTGTCTTGATATTATCAGAACCTTAATTCTTGATCTTCCTCCATCCCTTTTAGTTATGGCAGCATGCTGGTGCTCACTTGTCACTGGTTTACATCGGTACTGCTTTGAGACAGTGTCTCCATTTGTGGGTGCCTGCTTGCATGCCTCAGAAGCGCTTTCATTTCTGACCTCTTCTGCCCTAATAAAAGCACTCACCGTCCTCTCGTGATTACCACTCATCACCAACACAGCGTGAGCCCTTCCTGGTCTACTTTGTTTTCCACAATCTCATTGGAGAATTACAGGAGAGTGGCTCCTGCGCAAAGCAAAAGCCATATTGGCAGGCCCAACATCAAACACTGTTTTTTCTTGGCCTATTTACCCACCAGCACAAAGGGAGAGAGAAAAATCCAAAACTTTTTATCTTTGTGTCAAGTCCATCTGTCTTCGAGAGTGGAGATGTCGACACACTGTAAATGCAACCAGTCCCTCATCTTTATTCTACACTTTAGAGTGTTTTGAATGTGACTAGTGTGCTGGGAGGGTGGTGACTGATGGGCTGACGGACATGCATAATGTAGCCTGAGGAAACGCTCATAGTACTTTTTGCCATTTAGCAGATACCAGAGTGACTGAAAAAGCCTAAATTCTGTCATCAGCATTGCAAGTCTCAAACAGTGGGGAGTGCAAGCGTCAGTGCTGCAGTCGTCTGACTGAGAGCCCATATTAAACAGTGAAGGCAATGTGATTTGCAGTTTGATTTTTAAATAAGAGGAGAGAGGAGGAAATGTTCATCCATTTTTGACAAGCTTGCAATTTGAATATGTACAAAGGTAGATAGGTTAATGTGCGCAACGTAGCAATATTTAGAGAGTTGTCAGAATTGACTACATATTTACAAGTTTTATCAGTTGAATAGATCTGTTTTTTATCCTCACATTTACATGAGTATTGCCTTCCTTGTTTTTGATTGGTTAAGTTAGTCACATGTCAGGGAAAAACCAGGAACACATCGGAAAAGATTGCAATACTGTTAGCTCTACTTTGGATAGAGGATACGAGACGACTGAGGACACATGATTTTTCTAATTCAACTTCATCACAGCCATTCAGACAGCACACCAGACATCTTAATAGAAATATTACAAACAATTTATAGAATTCAAATGATGGGACTAACTGTATCATTTTTATAGGCACCAGCACATTCTGGGATAAAGGGAAATTAAACTGCAAACAAGGTTGCAAATAAAAGTTAACTTAAAAAAACACAGGAAATGAGTGTTACCGGTTTTTGTTTTAGTACTGTAGAATATGAAAGTTTTTAAAAGACGTAAATTTTGATGAGCCACATTCTTTACTGGTTGGTGGTGCTAATGCACTAATTTGTTGTTTGCCAACTACAGATAAACCTCAGAAGAAGAAGAAAAACCAGGAAGTGTGTTCACTGAGGAGTTTTTGAAAGTGTGTGCAGGCCCTTTAGTTGAAGTGCTTGTTTAAATTGATTCAGCCACATTTCTACAAACGCGTTCTCCACAGTGAAGGAAGGTTGTTCCACCATTGTAGAAACATCAGAGAGCGACTGAACCTGGGCACAAGGTAAGTGAAGGCTTAAGGCACAGTCTGGAGGTCAAATAATACACTGGAGCTGGACAGTGGCCTGCAAAAAGTAGTTTGGTAGGCTTCTTATTTCTAAATATTCCAACTGAATGTTTCTGGTTCTCTGAGTCAGTCACTGGACTGTAAAATAAGGAGTGACAAATTAGTAGTTTAATGAGTTGCTGGTTTATTTACTCCTAGATAAAGCAATTAATATAAACCCTACCTTCATGAAGGTTAAAGTTTTTAGATTTCATTGAAGCTGTTTACAGGAGTGTTATTCATACTTTGTAGTAATTCTGTAGTTTGCAGTGAGGTTTTGTTTCTAGTATTTTGCCCACCCCAGAGTCCCACATCCCAGGCACAGTTTCCCTGTCAGCCTTTTGCCAAAACAGAACTTAGGAAGACTTTTCATGCTGTACACTAGTTAAAACAATAAGATAAGCAATTTAGAAAAAGGGAAAACCAAATCTAATGCAGCTGTGAGAACTCTGGGCCTGGGACTGAATGTGTGTTCATAATTATGGTACTATTATGTTGTTTTACTGTTAAAAATTTATTTTGTAGTGAGGGCTAGATTACCTCTTGATTTCTTCATCGCTCTCCCCCTCATGTTTCCCCTGTTTAAGAGCTGTCACTTGCAGTTTCTGTTTGAATTGATTTTGCTGTTCTGCTGCTGCAAATAAGTCCTAATTTGGAGAGTAAACATGTTTTTTGTGCCTTAGTGCAAGTCAGTTATATGCAGTTAACTGTTTTAGGAAATCATACATGATTTTCAGGTTGTTCAATCTTTGTTGTTGTGTTAAAGTAATAAAGTACAGATGTCAAACATCAGGGGCACTTCCTTTGCTTCAGGGTTGGGACCTGCTTCCCCCATCTGTCCCCCTCATTTTCTGTCACCTGGCCACTGTTTCTACTAAAGATTAGATTAGATTATGTTTAGATGTTGTGGTTTGTGTTTGATATGTTACGGTCTTATTGTGAGATTTAAGAACTTTTCTTGCAGTGCTGTGTTAAAGCTATAAACTTTAAGGTGACTTTGTAGAATGTATGTAGTGTAGACCCTGGACTGATTATGTGACACTGGGCCCCTCCTACATACAGTAGAAACAAAGATTCCCAGACTAAAGAATGTTTCTTTGTTGTCATTTAGCATCTATATTTTGTTGTTTTGTGTCTTTGTGGTCATTTTGTATCTCCTAGTAACCTGTATTTTTAGTCACTTTGCATCTCTTTGTGGTTATTTTTATCTATATATTTTACTTGTACTCTTTTTTGTGGCTGTTTTTGCATCTGTATTTATTCATTTTGTGTCTATGTTCACAGTCATTTCATGCAAAAGCCCTGGTACAGGGGCCCCCTCACCTCTCGGGCCCCCGGGCCTGTGCCCAATAGGCCCATTCACTACTTCATCCTGTAGAATGAATGTAAAATTGAGTTCTGAAGAATTTTTAACTTGAGTTTTTGACAATTCACTGCTGATATGAAGCTAAGAATGTTTTCTAAGCACGTTGAGTGCTTATTCAGCCTTTTTGGCGCATATGTGAACACTCCAAATGAACTCAGACCCATGTGAAATGCACCGAGACCACGTCCTGAGGTGTCTGCAGCTCGGTTCAAGTCCATGTTGTGGTTTGCTTAACCTGCGCGTTGTGAACACAAAGCACTCCAGGCTCACTCTGTCTGGGTTTGCCATAGACACACGATTGGACTGAGATATTCCAAACAGCAAACTACTCCTAATATTTGTTAGTTATTGTAATACATTTGTAGTTTTTGGTTATGTGTTTTTTAACCTCTAGAAGTTTATTTCTTAACTATGTATCATTTAAAGTTATTCACTAAACTTGAACTGCTTTCCTGTCAAAATAACAACTAGAAAAATGGAGGTGATCTCAAACCTTTGAAGTAGTGTGTGTGAAAACACCATAAATCTAAGGTTTCTGTTTTTACTAGTTTGAAGAGAGAGTGTTTTGGTGTAGCGAGAAACGTCAGGCATTTATAACTTCCCTTGGTGGCTGGTTGAAACTGGAATATTTCACAAGTTCACAGAACTATCTTTATTTCTAGTAAGGGAAGTGTTGCAGTGTCTGCAGATGTTTGTAGCTGTGACTATTAAGGAACATGATCCGCAGTTGTTTAGCCACATGTGAAAAGTGATCCAACACTGACAGTCAGTTCTGTGTTGTTACTGATCCTTGGAGTCAGCCAATTAGCTGTCTGAATGGTCAAAGATGGTTTCTGTGTAATTTGGTAAAGTACTGAGGTGCTTGTGTGACCTCATTAGTGCAATAATAAGACTGTTCTGGTCTGTTATTGTTGACTGATAGGGCCGACAGACAGTATTTAGCATCCTATCAGTCAATTAGTCACACCCTCTTAAACACACCTCCACACAGGCGAAGGAAAGATTTAAGCCTTGTAGAGCCATCTATTGTTGACACATGCAGAGTTAAACCCTCTGCAACACTCATCAATTTTGAGGAATTTGGGCCTGATGCCAGTGAGTGTGAGCTGTTACACCCACCAGAAAATATGCGGTGGATGTTTAATGCCTGACGGTGGTTTTTTCTCTTCTCTCTTGTTAAACCAAACTCAAACTAAATATTTGTTCCTTTCTTTTGAAAGCATTTTTATCAAGCTAAAAAAAAAAAGTTGATTCCGAGTTTCTAACCTCTGCTCACCCTTTCCCGGTACCTCGTCTTGTTGGCATAGCATGCACAGCAGTATGTTACCATAGTGACAGTCTCTAAGGGCATGGCAGTGGCAGCTTCACAGTGTCACCTTGGTGATGGTTGCTCAGTGATGGAGGAGGTTGCTAAGTGGAGTGGACATGTGATACCGACACAGCGGGGAGCGCCGCGTGTGACACCCGTGTCCTGCCAACTGTCTTCCAGCTTTGTAATGCCAGGTGAAAACCTCCTGTCGTCTTTCATTACTTTGTGTAGACGTCATGCTTCAGAGATGCAAAGCACATCCACCCACAGGATATTTGAGGCAGTTTTTGGTGTTTTCTTCTTCTGATAACCATGAGATACATTAGTGATGTCACTTATCAGTAGAGTAAGAGAAAATGCTTGGTGAGTCAGTGGAATCATACTTGGTTACAGCTCTGAGGGTATCATGACTCATCCTCTGACCACTTGTCAACAAACCATCATATATTTTCAAATAACATTGTTAGTCACCCACTTACATATTTTGGTCCTATTGAACTTTAATTGCTTATTCATCTTAAACAGTATTTTTAAAAAGGGTGCAGCTGTTATGGAAGTAATTTTCCCTCTTTTAAATTCCCATTTCTCTATTTTATCTCAATGATCATTTAAATGGCCTCATGGACGATTTTTATTGAATTATTTCAGTGTTGTATTCTTCAGTTGGAGAAACAAATCTGATACGCAGCCGATTCAGAATGCCCCAGTACGTCTTTCTTATTGTGAACAACCATCATTGTCAAATTTGTCTAAATTTACCCATAATTCAAAAGTGAACTGACTTTAAACTGTTCAAGGTGATGAAGTATACCCTTTAGCTGTAGTTTGCCAGCTGGACATGTGATTTTAGGCTCTCTGATTGAATGTTAATGCACCTTGAGGACTGTGGCTGATGTTGCTTCTCTTCTTACTTTATGTTTTTCTGAATACAGGTTTGTACCTTGGACTGTGTATCAAATAACCAGATAATAATAATTGTAATTTTATGCCTCTGCACCGGCACCAACTGTGGCTGGAGGCTTTATGTGTTTGGGTCGCATAGCCCATTCTTGTCACCAAGATCTCTCTAAATCACCTTGTGAATTACCAAATTTGTTTAAATTTGGAACAAATGTTCACTTGGACTCAAGGATGAACTGATTTGGTGGTCAAAGGTCACAGTGACCTCACATCTTTCCCAGTCTCATGAATTTCACTGGTTGGTGGAGGTATTCACTCACAAAGTGGAAATTCTAGTTAATGATTCACCATCATCAATCAGTCATCTCACCCTGTCACTATGCAACACTGGTTGCCCAGAATAACTCCTCCCCTTCATGTACCTGCTTAGTAACCTGCTCCTTGTATTGCTTGCTCACCAGAACTGTGTGGAAAAGGGTTCCATAAGTAGTTTAGCTGAATAAAATACATAAAATCCTGAGAATTCTTAATCAGGTTTCAAGGCACCAGTAAGTAGAAATTTCAGAGATTGCTAATTATTTAACAAGTAAACAGTTACAGTTACCTCTAAGCAGGGATTAGTGGATTAGTGTGAAAAATTACTGTTCATGTTTAAAGCCCTGATACTTGAACCGATATTGATGCATTAGTGTAAACTGAGCAGCCTGTTCTACCAATCAATACAGTTTGTGGACTGATTAATGAAGTGAAGTTTGGAGTATTAGCTTCTTACAAATGAAAGATGACGATCCATCATCAGTTGAATCATACATATATTTTCACACTTGTATAGAAAATGATAAATTCGTCCATCAGTCCTCACAGTTCTATTACCAGTCTTTTCTCTCACTAATGAACGCCTGTATCTTTGCTTCAGTCTATCTTTACCTCAGTTTTTCTTTTCCTCCATCTCTGTTTGTCATCTCCTCACCTTCCACCTGGACTGTCCTTCTTCCAGTATTTTAACAAGTGTGCCACATGCCATTTGTTTGATTCTCATTACTTCTAATCTTCTCCTAGACCCAAGCAAATTCATCCATCCAGCTTCCTACTTCCCCCCTCAGTCCTTGCACTCTGTTTTTTTACAGATTTTAACTTGCATGGACCCATCTTCAGAGGGAGACCTTCTTTAGCAATAGGACATTCAGCATTGTTGGTACGTGAACTCATTTTTGACTCAAAACCTTGATGCTGCTGGCAGTTTTTAGCTGGTACAGTATAATGTTTGCTGTGGGTGTGTTCTGTTCTGGCCAGTGTTGAGCCTCTGGTAGCTATGAAAGTGATGCTAGCAGGCAAAGGAAAGGCTGTAGAGCAGGAGAGGAAAGCTGAAAGCCACAATTTGGG